GCATGTCACACCAGACGAAACAGGACTCACAATAAAACCCAGCCAGAGCTATAACTATCACCACAAGTGTTCCGGAACCACTAGTCTACATATTTCAAGCAATCAGGACTAATTTAACAAACATGTTTGTATCCATATCCCAGGCTTTCACCATATTTGCTTCAGATTTTTCAAAACATTACAGCTACAATTGAGACTGTGTGTCCCTCCAGTTCATTCTCCTCTCTCCCTAGAGGTAGCTACTCTTCAATTTAGTACTTTTCATGTGCCTTTAAAAACAAGACAAAACAAAAACTTAAGTGTATATTGTTTTGGATCTTTTCAAACTTTCTATGAATGGACTCCTGCTTGTACCCTTCTATAACTGAAGTTTGCTCATGCTGAGACAGTAGTTCTCACCCATTCATTTTCTAATGCTGTGTGAGAGGATACTTCAAAAGTTCATGGAAAGATTCATACTATCTTTTAATTCTATTTTTTTTCACAAGCTTTTTGAAGTACTCTCGTATATATTTCCATTTTATAAATATGCCTCAAGTTATCCATATCCTGTTGACTGGTATTTAGGTTATTTTCCCAGTTTTTCTCTGACAATGCTAAATGAACATTCTTGTACCTGTCTCCTTGTGCAGATGAAATAGTTTCTTTAAGTGCTGTGGCCTTTAAACTTCTACTGTCATCCACAGTAAGAAATTCAATTTATACTGCAACCCAATACACATATGCAAGTATGTGTACCACATATTTAAATAAATCTAATGTTTCACAAAAGTTTATTTTCTATTTCACTAAAAAAATGCTGGTTGAAATTACTAAACTACATTCACAAACCACCAATGACTCTTAACCTGAAATTTTTAAACACTGTTTTAGGATCAATATACCTTAGAGTGGAATGGCTGGGTCTTTGGGTATGCACATCCTTAATTTTCATACATTGCCAAAGTGACTGTGTCATTTAGACTCCCACCAGCACCACTGACTGCTACAGTTTTTTTTTTTTTTTTCCTTTTTGTCTTTTTTCGTGACCGGCAACGGATCGCAACCC